TCAGTTTCAGCAGCGGCTGAATCTGGACGCCAGTTCCGACTTACATACAGATTCAACTTGGGGACTGTAGGTTTGTTCTTATCTTGTACGTAACCTGGGGACTGCCTGTAGTGTCAAAATACTGTCAAGCTGGAGGACTTCTTACTCCGACTTCTGTAACCTTGTACAAGGAGTAAGGGAAGTCAGAGGAAGAGTGCTCTATTTCAAATAAGTGCTGTGTAGATGCTTCCTATTTTGAAATAAGCTATGCAATTGACGCAGCTCATTTTGTGTAGCTTATTTCGACTTAAGCCCTGCAGTGTAGAAGCACCTTAAGCAAGACCCACTACTGTAGCAATACTTAAAGTGCCAGCAGTGAAATTTTCATGGAAGCTTTGTGTAGTTCTGCAAAGCTTGGCTTTCAGTTGTGGGCTCAGTGATCTTAGCATAATGTTCTTTAACAGAGTACATGTGATAAAACTCCTGTTAAATTTTAGAAAGATTAACATTTTTATTTTATCAAGGAGGAAATGAAAGAGAAGGCCAAGCTTGAAGAGGAGAAAAAAGATGAAGAAAAAGAAGACCCTAAAGGAATTCCTGAGTTTTGGCTAACAGTATTTAAGAATGTTGACTTGCTTAGTGATATGGTTCAGGTAGGTGGTGACCTGAAGTTTAAATATAATCATAAGTCTTTAAATTTGTACTAGTGTGCTCCTAGAAGTTGTGGAAGTAGTGATTTGATTTGTCTGTTTGCTGGTTGAATTAAAATATCTTGTATCCCATTTCAAAGTGCTTTGTCAATGGAGTGATGTACCATGCTCCCATGCCTGTTCAGCCTGACGCATCTTATTCTTTAGTTGCCAGTTAAATTACTTACACATCTTCACATATTCAGCAACTAATTGACTAACAAATCATGATTGAATAAGAAGCTTGTATTACAGTTGAAATTCTTTGCTGTGCCTATTACTTGACTATTTGCCTTTGGTCAAATATTTTTATAAAATTATTCAAATGACCATCATAGGTTATTAGCTAATGTAAAACAAATATTAAATGTATCTGAGCAACTTCCACCCCAAGGCCTCTTTTATTATATAACTAACTTCACTCAAATTCTGTTTGTATGAAAAATACTATGCATTAATTTAAAATAATTTATTTAAAGGAACATGATGAACCTATTCTGAAACACTTAAAAGATATTAAAGTGAAGTTCTCAGAAGCTGGTCAGCCTATGGTAAGCTTACATCTTAGACAAACTGTATTTTTGCATAAGATTAAAATTGACACTGGGTACACAGAAGTGGTCTGGGCCACTCAAATATTTGATGGTGCCTTTTGGAGTCTGAAAAATGTTTAGTTTGTTCTTAAAGAGAAATGACACTAACATACTGTTAGCACAATCATGTATAAAATGGGCATGTGTCTCTCTTGTATTACAACAGTTTAATCAGATACAAAACCTAGCATTACTTAGTATTTGCAGATAGATATTTCACTTTCATTTTTGGACACCATTATCAGCACCTATTTTTTTTAATTATGTCCTTTAACTGATAGTCTATATGTGGATTGCAAAGGAGTTAAAAGGACTATTTCTTTAGTAGCCCCCAGGCTTAGTTCTGCATTATAGTGCACAGACCACTGTTCATCAGGTAGTCTCACGGCAAACTTCAAAAAGGTATGAGGCAGAAGATCAAAATCATAATCTAGATGCCGGTATGAAATTAAGAGAACTTTGTTGTAATTTGGGGAAAATATTGAGAATTTTCAGTGAAATATATTGAGCAGAATTGACATTAAGCCAAGAGATATACATTAATTTGAGATCCGATTCTTGGATGTTAGGTGTTTAATAGTGATTGAAATGAAACATGAATAAATAGTGCTCAGTTACTAATGACACTATTTCTGCAATTGTTTTCAGAGTTTCACGTTAGAATTTCACTTTGAATCAAATGACTTCTTCACAAATGAAGTGTTAACAAAATCATACAGAATGAGATCAGAGCCAGATGATTCTGATCCCTTCTCTTTTGACGGACCAGAAATTATGGGTTGTACAGGGTAAGTATTTATTAATATTGAATTCTAACGTAGCTAACCTTTTTTTGTGGCTGCTCTTGAATATTTGGGTGAACTTTCAATGGCCTTATATTCAACTTCCTGGTCATTTCTGCTTGGTTGCATATGAAATGTATTAACTTTTGAACACTACATCCAATCAGCTCTAAAATTTCAGACAATGTGTTAGGCAACAATGGTCAGAACCTTGTTTCCCTCCAAGTCAACAATGGGGAAGGGCTAAATGAGGGATACATGAAGCCCTTCCCCACTCTTTAGTACAGTCACAGCCTCAAACACGCCTGCAGTTATGTAAAGAAGAAAAGCTGGCCCCTACACCTGTGAATAGAGTTTAACTGATTTACATTTTCAGGCTATATCTATACTGCATTTTTCTTAATGCAGAAGCCTATGCACTTCATATGCATAATTAATTAGGGGCTGCTTTTTCACAAAAAGGAGCTGGGTAGACAGCTCCTTTTTGCACAAAACCCTCCTCTTGCACAAGAGCCGTTCTTCCTGGAAAAAATGAGGAAGAACGGCTCTTGTGAAAGAGGGGTTTTTTTGTGCAAAAAGGAGCCGTCTACACAGCTCCTTTTTGTGCAAAAGCCTCTTGTGCAAAAACAGCCCCTAATTACGAAAATGAAGCTTGGCAATATGCGTTGATCTTAATAAAAAACACAGTTCAGGATGATGGCCATAGTTAAATTGAGACTTTTCAAACTTAACTTCTGAGTGTAGGATCACCAGCAATATTCTCCAAATATGGAGATCTTTGCAGTCAATGCTTCAAGAATGTTCATTTACTGACTTAATTTTTGCTGTTTGCCTGAACTCCCTGCCTTCCTTCCCAACTATTTTTGGGTCTTAAGTTCATTTATGTAGCAAGTAACTGAGTGGGGTCTCTTCTTGGCAGATTGTGTACTTAATTTCAGTGATTACGATCTATAATGTACCATGAGCCAATATGCAAATTAGTGTGCAGGTTTGCAGGCAATCCTTACATTAGCAAGTAACAAGTCTTAGCATTTGAGACTCTGCGCATCTCTATTCCTTCTAATTTTCCTCCTGTGTGTCTCCATTCTAGCTTAGAACCAAATATGCTAAATGATACCTTTGTTTCAACTTTTTTTTTTATTTTTATTTTTTTTGGTGGCCTTTGATTGAAAAGCCCTCACACCTATCCCTGGTGCCAACTAAACTAATACCCCCTATTCAAATCATTCCAGGAAAAAGTGTTTTGTCCATGCAGTGTTTCAATGGAAAGTGGCATCTGGTCAGCATTGACAAGATTTGTGGGATAGGCACTGTCTTCCATTATCCTGTACAACGTTGAACAAATTAAGTGTTGGATAGACCTTTCCTAGAGTAAAACTGAGCTATGCTCTTGTCCTTCCATCTGCCAGGCTTAAGAGTGAAACAATAATGTATATGAGGGGTTCCAGAAATTATTAATGCAGGAAATAAACGTAGTGGGATACTTTTCTATAATTTCAGTTTCTATTCTTCATTTCTGATGTAAATATTTTCAGTAAGAAAAGCGTGTGTGTAAATTCTCTGGATTGGAAGGAATTTGGGGAGTAGAATGAGTATACTCATGAGCGGTGTGGTGTGGCTAGCCCACAGGCTTTTCTCCAAATACATAATAATGTTCAAGATCACCTTAATTATTCAACTGGCTATACTCAAATATTTATTAACTATATCCTTAGACTAGTAATAACTTTAGTATGGAAGAACAAATGTTAAGTTGTAAGCATGTCCCAATTTTATATCTATTTTCCTTAATTTCTTGCAGGTGCCAGATAGACTGGAAAAAAGGAAAAAATGTTACTTTGAAAACCATCAAAAAGAAGCAGAAACACAAGGGACGTGGGACAGTTAGAACAGTGACAAAAACAGTGTCCAATGACTCTTTCTTCAATTTCTTTAGTCCTCCTGAAGGTAAGTATTGTGTGGATTTATTTGAAGTGAAATACATGAAGTATCTTTTAAATTACTTATTTTTTTCCCTGTTTTTTCTTATAGTTCCTGAAAGTGGAGACCTGGTAAGTTGAAGAAATTCAGTACACCAGATTTGAACATAAGAACGGCCGTACTGGGTCAGACCAAAGGTCCATCTAGTCCAGTATCCTGTCTGCCGATAGTGGCCAGCACCAGGTGCCCCAGAGAGGGTGGACCGAAGACAATGATCAAGCGATTTGTCTCCTGCCATCCCTCTCCAGCCTCTGACAAACAGAGGCCAGGGACACCAATTCTATCCCCTGGCTAATAGCCTTTTATGGACCTAACCTCCATGAAATTATCTAGCTTCTTTAAACTCTGTTATAGTCCTAGCCTTCACAGCCTCCTCTGGCAAAGAGTTCCACAGGTTGACTACACGCTGTGTGAAGAACTTTCTTTTATTAGTTTTAAACCTGCTACCCATTAATTTCATTTGGTATCTTCTAGTTGTTCTATTACGGGAACTAATAAATAACTTTTCTTTATCCGCCCTCTCCACACCACTCATGATTTTATATACCTCTATCATATCCCCCCTCAGTCTCCTCTTTTCTAAACTGAAAAGTCCCAGTCGCTTTAACCTCTCCTCATATGGGACCCGTTCCAAACCCCTAATCATTTTAGTTGCCCTTTTCTGAACCCTTTCCAAAGCCAAAATATCTTTTTTGAGGTGAGAAGACCCCATCTGTACACAGATATGGAGAGAATGTGTCTTAACTTTATTATTTTCCCAAATAGCTTAACTGTTTCAGCTATTTCTTTGTAATAGGGAACACCTTTAGCTCATATTCTGGCTTATTTTACAAGAAGATATTGAGGTTGGCTAAGAACACTTAGTAGTAAGAGTTGTAATGAGTGTATTTTGGGATTGTTGATATTTATGAAGGATAAACTGGAATTTTCTAGTAAATGTAAATGTTAAAAAGCATATTCTAAATTGAATAAATAGGAGTCTTGTGTAAGTGAGGAACCAATAATATCAGCCTAAGGTGAGTGTCAAACTAACTTGAACTTAAATCTCCAGAGGAGAGAGGTTAAATCAAATCTATTTAGCTATTTACCCCCGTCTCTGTATCTTCTCTATCCACTTACCCTTTCCATCACTACTAAAACTGGTGATGCGTCAGATGCCCACAAGTACTTTGTCAGCTCTGCTGTTCCACTTGACTTTCAATAATTGGGGGGAGGGGAAGCTATATCTACATGACAGATGTCTTAATCCTATTGTCATAAATATTTAATGACCTGCTTTTTAGCACTGGAGAATGCTGCCAGAAACTCCACTAGTACAAATTCAGTTTGTAAGTGTTTTGGCTTTTTTTTAAATCTAGCCCTTTTTGGGTCTCCCCTTCTTCCCCCACATGTAAATCAGTGAAGTTCCATTTGCCTGAATCTCTAGACACTTGATGTCATTCCTGTTGCTCCCATCTCATATATTACTGTCATTGTGGTTGTATTAATTGGCAGATATTCATTATCAGGGCTTGACAAATAATGTAATCTACTCGCCTGTGGCGAGTAGACTACAATCCGGAGGAGCCGGCACAGAGCGATCCGCGCATGCGCGGAATGATCTGCGCATGTGCAGGACACAGAACCACACGAAACTGCGCGGCTGGCGACTGGGGCTCGCTGCCACTTGGCAAGCCCTGTTCATTATACTGAAGGGGTTTTAGTGCTAAGTAATTTTAGGAAAGTTGTGAAGAACTCTAAAATGATCTGAAGAAGCTAAACATTGGAAAAATGGGGAAACTTTCTTTTTAATAAGTCTGGGTGAAAATTTTGACTTAAACTAGGGTATGTAATGTATAGAGATTTCTGTGTCTTTTAATTTGCACAGTATGTCAGACTTTACACAGGTTTCTTTTTTAATGTGGGCAATGCGTATGTTGTCTGCTTATCATAGTTTGCAAGTTGTCCCTTAGTTATGATCTAATAAATGTAGCAATCACTGGAACATATCCCATTTGTGCTGAATTCTCTTGAATATTTGGTCACCTCAGTCCTCATGAGATTAGTTTGTGTTCAGACTCCTAAAACAAATGAGTTATGAATGTATCACTTTACTGTTTCTTTTAATATTTTATGCAGGATGATGATGCTGAAGCAATTCTTGCTGCAGATTTTGAAATCGGCCACTTTTTACGTGAGCGTATAGTTCCACGATCAGTATTGTACTTCACAGGGGAAGCTATTGAAGATGATGATGATGATGTAAGTTTTAAACTGGCTAAAAATGCTCAAACAATTAATATTTAAGATTTCTAATGAGATTGCTTTAGTAGTGTTTGTGGGGATTTTCTTCATGAATCTATTCTTTCTTGACACTTCTTTCAGCTCTTTTCAGGGTAGGCCCCTTCATCATGTTACAAAATCCTGAGAGCTATAGTAGACGCTCCAAGGTACGTCTACACTAAGACTACAGCAACACAACTATAGCTACTCTCCTCTAGTACTTTAGCATATGTCTACGCTATTTAGCAACAGAAGGAATTTCTCTGTCACTGTAGTAAATCTCTTTGGGAAGCGGTATCTAGGTTAACAGAAGAATTTGGTTAACTTCAGTGCATCTACATTGGAGTTAATCTTAACTGAACTGTTTCATACAGGGTGTGCACTTTTTCATCGTGCTAAAAGATGTAGACAAAAGGTCTTAAAGTGTGTGTGGTGGTGTGGGGGGGGGGAGAGCCGAGGCAGACTGGCCCAGCAGGATACCGGGAATTTCCTGGTGGGCTGTTGTCCGGTGGGCCGTTGTGTCCGCACACTGTTGCCCCTCATTCGGAGTGGCTCTGCGTCCGTGCTGTATGTGGCACGCAGAGCCCAACCTGCCGCCTGTGCTGTGTGCCTGACATGACGCAGGGGTTGGGGGGGTGATGTTATGGGAAGGGCTGTTCTCAACCCATTTCCTGGGCCCATTTTGATTGCCAGTACGCTCCGGGGGAGGGGAGGGCACTGACCCACAGAAAAATCAGTTGGGGGGCTGCACACAAGTGAGATACAAAAAAACCCTCTCAGTGACTGGGCCCTGACTGATATGGAGAAAGACACTCCAAACATTCCCCTCACACACAAGAGCCTAGGGGGGACCCAGCCTCGTAGATTTTTGTGTGCTCCAGCCCCATGTTGGGATGGCAGATGAGCTATAGCGCCAGCATGGACTCCCACTTCCAGCATTGGGGCCATAAGCCTTGGGTTGGATTTCCCATCCCTCCTTACAGGTTTGAGGGTATAATGACATTGATTCTGTGCCATCCGGGTATGACTCTTACACAGTGGCATGAGCTCCTCCAAAGATGCATATGGGTTCAGAAAATACCAACTACAGAATATGGTCCAAAGAAAGTTAAGGTTCAGAAGTTAAGGAATGCCACAGTTAAAGTTACTTTGGTAAAAGTAATCTGAAAAATCAGGTCCTGGATTACTCAAATTGGGTACATAAAATTAGTGTGAATTTGTGACCTTAATCTCTATGCTTTAGCTTCCCGTCTAAAATGAGCGAGAAAATATTCCATCTCAGATGTGTGAAAGATTGATGTTTGTTAAATACTTGGTTACTGTAGTGATGAGCACAGTAGAAAAGCATGTGAGGAGATAATTAATTTTGTTTTCAAAGCAGGGGTCAAATAATATAAATGAGGCCCATACTGAGCAATTAGGAGAAACCAATTTTGAAGTGCTGCTCATTAAATGAGCATAGTTCATTGTATTCAGAGAATGAAACAGATCTTAAAAACTAGTACTGTGTGTGATTAAGGCTGCACACAGAACCGTAATTCTGTAACTTCCTAACCTGAATTCTTGATATTTTTGTTTGTTTGGTTTTTTTGTTTCAATCTGAAAGTTCTCTTTTTACAAGTTTTTAGTTCAGACTTCCTAAGCTTTCCAAAGAGCAAACTGGGAAGAAAATGCATCATACTGAGACATTGATCATCAGTAGTGCTAGAACTTTTAGTTCTTCTTCGAGTGATGTCTCCATGGGTGCTCCACTGTAGCATTAGAGATCCAGATCTCCACCACGGTCAACATATGGGAGTCTATCTCTTGAACATTCCCCTTCTCAACCTTCATCAGTTCTGGAACAAACACCGTCTCTCCTCAACCTCCTCCCTCTGACATCAACCAAAAACAGCCCACTGCAGTGCAAGTACAACCACCTGGTATATCTCCTACCAATCAGTCCTCTTCGTCACCTGACGAAGCAGTTATCCTGGGAGATGCCCCCCCCCGATGATTTAAAACCATTTCAGGAGTTGTTCGAGAGGGTGGTGGTTACTCAAGAACTACAGTTGTCTGAGATTAAGGAGGAGATTTTTTCCTTAAGAATCTCCAAATGTCCCAATGCGCTAAGCTGGCTATCCCGCTTGACGAAGCCATATTGGAAGTTGCGGATGAGATCTGGCAAACACCGGCAGCTGCCATTGAGAGCGGATAAAAAGTACTTTGTGCTACCCAAGGGGTCTGAGTTTTTATTCAGTCACTCTCAACCCAACTTCTTGGTAGTGGATGCAGCACAACGAAGGGCAAAGACACCCCAATATAGGAATTGCACTGTAGACAAAGACTCCAAAAGACTTGATTTATTTGGCAGGAAGATTTACATGTCATCCACACTTCTCCTTCGTATAGCAAATTATTTAGTGCACCTGTCAATCACAATTTTGACAATTCTACTAAATTGACACAGCTCATGGAATCACTGCTAGAGTCCAAGAGACCAGTTTTGAGAGTGGTCGTCCAGGAAGGGTATGCCCCACCAGAGCTGGTCTGTGGATAAAGATGGATGTCACAGATACGGCAGCGAGAGCAACAGCAGCAGCAGTGGTCATGAGACGAGCCTCTTACCTCCAATCTGCATAGGAACTGATGAAGGTGGAAGAGGGGAACGTTTGAGACACTCCCATATGTTGAACGTGGTGGAGATCTGGATCTATAATACTACAGTGGAGCACCAAATGGGGAGGGACATATCGAAGAACGACAGTTACTGCACCAAGGTGAGTAACTTTGCTATCCCCTGCCACTTGTGTTAAGGAATTTTTACTGATAGAGGATGACAATCTATTGCTGCTGTGTAAACTTACTTAAATGAGGATGAGACACTTTGCCATTGGAGTTCACAGATGTTTGACACTGACTCTCCCTCTTCCCCCCCACCTATCCCTCCCTGCCTGCCTCCTTGCCCTTTCAGTTGTCCCTCCACATACCCAAGCTTTTTGTCCAACCTGTGTTCCCCATCCCCTGGCTTGCAATTCTTATTTTGCCAGATAGTCTCTCTCTTTTTTCCTCTTCTCCTACCTTTGATCTAGATTTTCTTCCCCTTTGCATTCAAATTAGACTGTTTCCTAAGCAATAGTGCCCAAGGGTGGGACTGCCACTGAGGCCGCCTCCTGTTCTCATCCTAGTGATTCTCTCCTCCCTCCCTTGCCCCCCGAAACAGCACTTCTGGCAAAAGTTTGGCCTCACTCCTGTAGCCCTAATGTGGGACTGCACAAGTTTGAGCTATGCTCAGTGAAGACAAGACTCTTTGGAAATTCTACCTGTTAAACCTGTAGCAAGCCTTTACTCATTTTTTTGCAGACTTCACTAAATTTGGGTGTATTTTTATGGAGACACTGAAGGGCACATCCCAGACATACCCGCTGCCAAACTTTCAATCGCTGTTCTAAAGTTTTGAGAGCTATTTGGAGAAAAGATTACTATAACTTAGTTTTGTCCATATTAATATCTCCTTAGCTATATTCTTTAAAAAATTGAGCATGAGGCTGATACTTGGCATGGAGACTTTCAACCCAAGCTGTTAGAATTTTGCAAACCTGTAAGCAACCGAAAGTGGCTTCTGATTGGGGGATGTGCCAGACATATGCATGCAGAATAAATGTTAATACATAACTATAGATTTTATTCTTAAAATAGGAGAAAACTTTATCTGTCAAAGCTATATTTTAAATTCTTATCTGTTTAATAAAATGGATTCAGTATTAACGATATTGATCACTTCAACCCAGATCTAGAAAGGTTTTTTGACAAAGTTAATTTGCCTTAAATGCCCCCCTTTTTGGAGTACTTAATTTTAACATGGAAATTCTTTGGTTGCCATATAATTTAAACAAAACCATTAGGAAGATGGTGTTCACAATGTTTTACAATAAACTATTTTTCTTTTAGTATGATGAAGAAGGTGAGGAGGCAGATGATGAGGTGAGTTACAAGATGGGTTAGACAAATAAAATTATACATGAACACACTTCACTTATGGAGGCAGCTTTTCCTCTTTGGGATGGTAGCTGAACAGTTGGCAAGTTTAAGTTTCTTGTTTCATTAACTGTAAATGACAAACATTCTGCAGTATTTCTCTAGTCTATGTAAAACTTTATTGGTTCAGATATTTTATAAATAAGTCTGAAGTGATGATGAAAGCAAAGATGCCAATTATTAATTTGGTGTCAGATGCATACAGAAGTTGTACTAGTTTCCAAGTATATTTAAGAGCCAAACTTTATGCTAAATGCAGTACAGAAATTTACTCTAAAAGCTGAATATGGGTAAACAGAAAGATACCCAATTCAAAGCTTTTAATTCAAATCCTTAGTTTTTGTTAGTTGCAATTAGGTATACGCATGCTGCATGTACAATTGTTAGGAGGTTTTTCCTTTGTGGTACCTATTTGGCCAGCTGTGGAGCCCCTGGAGTGAAGGCGGTTTATATGCTTCCCTGTTGACCTGCTGCCTTTCTAGTTCCTTTATACCACTATGATGGCATTGCGTTACTTACTTTCTGTGACTGTTGAAGATTTGTTGCTTATGTCCATTCCAAGACCCACCCACCCACCTTGCCTCTGTCAGAGTATCTAGCAAGAAAGAACTGAAGAGGTGGTGGGTCAGCAGGGACCTAATATACACGGCCACCACGGTGCCACTCCAGGGGCTCCACAGCTAACCCAATGGGTACTGCTAGAAGAATAGCTTCTGATGATTGTATGTACATGCCTGCTTGAAATGCATATGAGCAATGCATCTTCAACAGTTACTAAAGGTAGGTAGCAAAAGCAGCGAGGAGTCCTGTGGCACCTTATAGACTAACTGAAGTGTTGGAGCATAAGCTTTTGTGGGCAAATGCATCTGACGAAGTGGGTCTTTGCCCACAAAAGCTTATGCTCCAACACTTTAGTTAGTCTATAAGGTGCCACAGGACTCCTTGCCACTTTTGCAGATTCAGACTAACACGGCTACCCCTCGATACTTAAAGGTAGGTAATCCACTTATTTTTGCACGGATGCAATCTTACACATATCAGAGGAATCTGTTAACTGCACCAAATCCTATTTAATCTGAACAAAAGCATTTTCTATTTGATATTTCTATCTTTCAGGAAGGTGAGGAAGAAGCAGATGAAGAAAATGATCCAGATTATGACCCGAAGGTGGGTAGTACCAATGTATGTATTTTATTAAAATAGTTTACACAATTAATTTAAAGCAACCATTTAATCTGAAATAAACAATTCATAATTTCTGTAACTTGTTTTGAGTAAATTGTTCTCTGAGATGGTTTTAATACCCCACTTTTTACTTCTAATATTTGCCAAGTAACATGGTTGTCACTCTAATTTTGTTTCAGTAATACCTTTTAAAATATGTGGTCAGGGATCTTTTTCTTTCCTCCACAAAGAAATTGAAGTATTACAGTAGACTTCTGATAATCCAGCACTTTTGGGATCCAGGGGGTGCCGGATTATTGGATATGCCGGAGTATCAGGAGGTACTCTGACAGAGGGGCTGTGACAAGTCTGGGGAGGGGGGTCGGCTGGGAACTGCGCAGCATGGGGCAAACCCTCCGCAGCTGCTGGCGACAGGCCAGCTGGGGCTTCAAGCAGCAGCGGCAACTTGGGGAAGCGGCAGGGCACAGCAGGGCAGAGCAGCTGGGGTGCTGCCGGGTTGGTTCCGCAGTGCCGCCCCTCACCCCCCTGCTCAGCACCCGGCAGCACCCCAGCTGCTCTGCTCTGCAGCTTCCCAAAGTCCACCGCTCGTCAGTTTCAGCAACGGCAGCAGCGGACTTGGGGGAGCAGAGCAGAGCAGACACCCAAGTAGGGGTGGGAGGGGTGGCTCTGCGGGACCAACCGGGCAGCACCCCAGCTGCTCAACTCCGCGCCGCTTCCGCAAGTCCACCGCTGGTCAGTTTCAGCGGTGGCAGCAGCGGATTTGGGGAAGTGGCACGGAGCACCTCAATTGTCCGGCTGGCTGGAGCACTTCCGGGTTCCAGTTGGTGCCGGACTATCAGGAGTGCTGGACCACTGGATGCCGGACAATTGGAGTTTTACTGTATTACAAATGAGTTTTTAAAGAGATACAGATGCAACTTTATGAAAAAAGTTGCAAGTTTTCCTATTCATAAAGAAAATATAACTTAACTGATCTTGAATGAATGCTATTAAAATCTTCTTTAGTTGAACAAGTTTGTTGCTAATTTTGCTATTGGTAATAACAAAGTGTTGCCTACATTTGTTGTACCATCAAGGAGAACATATCTGTTCACTTGGATGACATTTCTTAAGTAGAGTTGGAGACTTAAGAGTAAGGAGAGAGGTTTTGGACTGTCTTCCTTGGAGATGATCATCCTCGTTTATATTGAGTAGAATCTACAACAGGACTCTAAAGTAAACTAAGTGTAGCTTTCCTGCTAACATGGAATTAGATATAAACCCTCCTTTATGGCAGGGAATATATTTCTTTGCTCATTCCAGTCTTCCCCTGAACATTCTCTTCCCAAAAAAGAAGACACAGATGCTTATTACTTAGAGAGTAGAGACTTCAGGGTGACTTGAAAAGATGACAATATGGATGTGCAGCAGAGATTGCTAATTCTTTTTTACATATTCCCAAATGTATAAATTTCTCATCTTAGTTTGGGTAGTATGAGGATAAGTTTTCAGATGTCCCATACTCTACAACAGCTCTAGATGAGCTGTTGGGATTTTTTTAAACCTAGTTGTCAAACTAAATAGCATTTATCCAGCTACTTCTAGGGCTGCAAGCACTGATCAAAAAACCAAGCCACATCTTTGATTACTTTAATTTTGAGTGGGGAGTCTGGGGACCAAACCAAACTCAAATATACCTGACATTGGAAGCACTACTGTTACTCAAGCAACATTGAATAACTGGTTATATCTGTTACATGATGTGTGCTCAGGCTAGTTTCAGAAGAAATATCGCAGAATAGGGAAATAATCATATGAAAATATTTTCTCACCAAAATAATACATTTTGTATAAAAATGTAAGTTTACATTGGGAAATGTCCTTTATCATTTTTGGATGAGTGCTATTGTAGTCACCCACAGCATGGTAATAAGATCTGTTCATCTTCAAAAAGGCCATGTTACGGGGAGTAGGATAGTCTGTGAAATTGGCAAGTACTAGAGATGCTCTTGTTGCAGATATGCAGAAGCAGAAACCATAAATAATTCTACTCTGCCTTTCTGTCCCTGTCTGCTAGAAGTCTCTAAACCCGTGGTCCCCAACATGGTGCCCGTGGGCGCCATGGCACCCGCCAGGTGCTTGGGGCTGGCCTGGCTCCGGGCACATGGCGCGGCGCTTGCAGGGAGCGTCGGCCCCGGGCGCGCGGCGCTTCCGGGGGAGAGGGGGGATTGCTCTAAACAATGTGCAGTTATCAGCCAACTTTGCAAGTTGAGTTGTTAAAGGATTGTGCCAATCCATGTTGTAGAAGAATTTAAACAGAGTGCTTCCTTCAG